ATAGACATGTCTTTAGACGATATCATCAAAAAGGATAAAATCGGTTCCGGAAGGAGAAGAGGACAGACCGGCGGTCGCGGCAGAGGAGGCGCGCAAAGAGGCGGTCAGAGAGGCGGCGGTCGACCGCCCGTTGGCGGAGGCGGTGGTGGCGGCGGAGGGGGTCCTCAACGCAACCTTCGCACCCGAAGCAGAGCTCTGCCTTACAGTCGAGTAAAACCATTGATAAGACATTAGTTATGATTGAATGCCTATTAATGGTATGCATTGTCTCCACAGCCGAACCAAATGCCGGACAAATGGCAACACGACTTGTTTGACAACACAGGACTCAAGAGTCGGTCCAGTTTTGGTCAGAATAGCGCCGCAAATAAGTCCGCAAACAATAATAACTCCCATCTTATGGTCTCTAACCTCGAGTTCGGTGTAACAGGTATTGCATTGACTCTTATTATGATTGGTCGGCAAAATGTGTGCCATTTTATTGTGTTATTAACCGAGAGTTTTGGTTGTCTTTTCGCACAGACGCCGACATTCAGGAACTGTTCGCCGAATTCGGAAACCTTCGAAAGGCTGCCATCCATTACGACCGGTCCGGACGATCGCTGGGAACCGCTGATGTTATCTTTGACCGGAAAGCGGACGCAATGAAAGCCATGAATCAGTACAATGGAGTGCCACTCGATGGTAAACTAATGACGTGTGACTTATAATACCAGTGGTCACCGAATCCAATGAAATAGATCCGAACGCGAGCTCTTATCTCCCCCAATAGGCCGACCAATGAAAATACAGCTTATGGTCGGAAGTGAATCGGCGACCGCTAGTATCAGCTCCAGAATCGGAATCCCCGCCGGAAACCGAACGCAAAGCCGCGGCGGCGGTAGCGGTGGTGGAAGCGGAAGGTCTGGAAACTCAGGCGGAAGAGGAGGCTTTAGAGGCGGCGCCAGAAGAGGAACCTCGAGAGGAGGCGGCGGTGGAGGACGAGGCGGAGGATCGAGAGGACAAAAGTTTGCAAACTTTTCATAATTTATCACAATTTTATGTCAAAAATGCTTTGTTAGAAATGTGTGATACCTTTACTTAAACTCATTACTATAACTCAATTATTTATGCAAATGATTATTGTGTACAACTTATTATTTGGTTAAAATTAGTATCTTTTGTGAATTAAAAAACACTCAACTTATAAATTAGTTCTTTATTTTTCATCAAATAAATAAAATCAAATTTAATTTTAAAAACATTTCAATTAATGAT